CCAGGGTATTTTGGAATTCATTAAGCGGTGTTCACACTCACGTAAACTTGCACTTGTAGGCCGTCTCAGAGGCGTCACAGGTCTGGGAGGTGGTGAGGAAGTGACGTAACATCTCTGGTCGTGTCTGGCTGTCGTTGTGGTGGTCCTCCGACTCGCTCACGCAAACGTTGGGGCTGAAAATGGTGAAATGGTATAGGTTTAACGCCCCTATCAATACTGTTAGGTTATTTAAGAGGCGGGACCTCCGAGTTTAACGTCCAACTCCGAAAGGACCGAGCCAAGTGGGAAATTCGTGTAAAGTGCCTTTCCCAAGGACACAGCGTCGGACCGAGCTGAGGTCATGGGGTGGGGGCAGAAAGTGGAGACGAAAGCAGAGAACAGAAAATTGCTAGAGAGCAGGAAAGGAGGTGAAAGGAGAACATTTGAGAGAAAAAAATGTCCGTTGCTACCCGGATTCGAACCCTGAACCTTTGAATAAGAGGCGAACACCTTAACTTCTAGACCACGAGAGCCTCCCCACCCCCAGTGAGGAATATTCAGATTATGTACGTATGTTCTGAAATCAAATTTTGGAGGACTAGGATATCCCTCTACGGACAAAGCTGGGAATTTTCAACACAAAAATGAAGTCAGTCTTGTAATAATGTTAGACATGTAACACATCTCAGAGGTGCAAAAAGAGGACCCAGGTTTTTGGGTTGTTTTTTTTAACAAGTGTCTTGGGAAGTTACTGAGGATCAGATGGACAGACAGGATCACCAACGAGGAAGTATTTAGAAGAACATGACAATCCCAGTCAGAGATGATGTGGGAAGATGGCGATGGCGATGGATTGGACATACTTTCAGGAAGTCAAGCAGCTGCATAACAAAGTAAGTGTTGGATTGGAACTCACAGGGTAAAAGATCAAGGGGAAGACCACGTGGAACCTGGAGAAGAGTCACGGAAATCAATGTACAGAAAAGTGGGAAGATATGGAGTAACATCAAGCGACTAGCCCAGGATAGAGAAAGGTGGAAAGTGTTTGTTCGTGGCCTATATCCTGATCAAAGGTTAAAAAGGTAATGATGATGTTCTGAAATCATTATAATATTACTAATCTACATTTTTGACACCCATTTCTGACATCACCTCCCTACTGAAGTATTCTATGAGGCTTGGGGAATGAATAATTATTCAAATTATTACTACACTACCATTGTATAAACAGAGAGACAGACAGTTAAATAGACAGGCAGACAGACATCAGTCAAACAGAAAGGTAAACAGATAGACAGATCGAAAGTTGTATAGACAGAAATACATATAGATAGATAGACAGGCACCCAGACACAAACACACA